ATAATCGCGTGAAGAACGAAGATTTTTGCGGATAATGTATTAGAGTGAAGACAATGGCGTAGACGAACCAACCCCACCCTATGAGGCGCAGGGCGATCAACCCGTACCCGAATGGACTCTCGTACAAGTACAGCACCTCACCAGGGTCGAAATACTGTCACATATGTTGTAGATTTGTTGTCCATATTTTACATATGAAAATAAAAATGAATTTTATGATGATTTATGTCTCATTATTTTGGGATCAAATGATTCAAATGGTTGTACCGTTTGCTCGTGAAAGAAGAGTATGCCGTAAGTGATGGTGAAGAGTGTCATGAAGACGCCGATCTTAATGGATGTGCTCATCTTGAGCCTGGCCCGGGTCACTGTGAACCCTTTGGCCAGTAGTATCAGTAGTAACAGGAATATGATGGTCGACACCGCTTCCATACTTCGCCCTTTGATTTTTGGATATATTTGAAAAATTAGACATTAATTAGTATTTTAATTTGTCGTGAAGACAGAAATTATTGATTAGAAAATAAACCAAACATTTTATATATTGATTGCATATCAAACTCATTTCAATAGATTCTTTATCAAGTATACTTCAAATTATTAGCTAATATGATATTAAACTCAAAATCTGTAGTGGTTTATGGGTTTAAACAATTCATTGTATTCTAGGAACTGTTGGGAACTAACAGCAAATAGAGGTTTTATAGTCTATTTTTTATAAATAAAATAAACTTTTAAATTGAATTATAAAACAAATACATATTTGTCTAAAAACTTACCAAACACTTTGAGGGCATTATAACCAAATCCGTTTTGAGCATATAATCCATAATAAATGCATAATAATGTGATTCCAATGCATTCTTGTTATGCAAATAGACATACATTTCAATACAAAAAAGAGTTATACATTACTGTACATGTATTTTAAATGTTAAGTGTTGTTAAGTCAAGAGACCACTAAAAACTAATCGCATATGAATAGAGTCTAATAAAGTGTATAATACCTGACAAAAGTGATGTCAAATACATTTTGTACGTTATATGGAATAAGTGCCGCGAGAATAAGGAGTCTAATTGATTGAATGGAGATTTTAATCAGCATCATTTTAATTATTACTTTCAGGGATGACCACATTAAAGGGCATAAATTGTTATGCGCTAGTTTTAAGAGTAAATCCACATATAATTACAATATTTAAAAATATTGCAATTTTATTAAATAAACTATTTTTGGAAATTAATGACTAATTGTTCATGTGGTCATCCCTGGTATTTGTCACGTTTGCATACAGGCTTCAAAACACGAGGCAATGAATAGCGCGTAGTATAATATCGTGAATATGAGATCCGTGTGTAATATATCTATCAATAGAAATACAAACAACAATTAAACCCGGAATCAGATTAAGCACTCAATTCTTAGGTAACAGAAATCGCTCACAAAACTCGTCGGCAGAGAAATGCCGGAGCCATCCATCGTTAACATTGTTAGTCATCGTAATCTTGTATCTCAACTTCAATCCCTGTGCCAGACACCAGACACAGACATTGGATTAATTAATCACATAAATTCACATATCATTTGAGAAACAACTTGCATTGCAAACAACAAAAGTCTCTCGATTGACAATTAAAATACTAAATGCAAATAATTAAATACAAACCTTTGTTGAGTTGCAATTGTCGAGTGCTATGAACCACCAGCGCTCCCGATACGAGTGGAACTTGCGGTAATGGGTGCACCGGTACCATACCGTGAGGTTGTCGTAGTCTTCGTGGTACTCCTTACAGCCGGACGCGTGGGTCGCCTTGATTTCTGTCGTATAGTTGGCTAAAGTGATCACTTGATTGTTATCGTTGTCCAGAATCTTATGCTTGTCTTCGCACGTCTTCAGCAAAACAATAAAAAAAATAAAATTCAAAATTGATTTTTAAAATTTGAATCAATTTTTAGTGTCATATGAAAACGCCAAACGGTTTGTTTAGTGCAAAATTAATGACATTTGAATAATGTGTAACATAATCGTAAACTAAATCAAACACGAAATACGTAACAAATGGTAACCTACCTTTCCTTTCTTGTAAATGGCTGGCCATTGATACACCGAATCGAAGTATAGTAGAAAATTCTGGGGCCCATAGTTCTGGGTATATTTAAACACGTTATTAGAAAATTAAATTTAATTAATAGCAAGCATAATTAATAAGAAAAATTATTGCAAATGTAGGCCTACTTTAGGGTAGGAGACGTCGTACTCGAAGACACCGTCTTGTGATAAGAAACAAAACCTCGAGAGGAAAACCCAATTCTTCAGCAGATTATGGATACGATAGGAAAACGATAAGAAACCGTGAGATTAGAGATAATGAATGACATAATGGTTTGACACCAATTATATTGAAGTCGAAACGGGTTAACAAACACTATGTGTTTTAGATATATATATGGCATGTCATATATTATATAATTGTAACTGAGGTTATCATATAATAAATAATATTTTTACACACAATGAGTACCCGTATCACGAGTTTTAATGTACTTTATGTTTATGACATTAAAAATAGCCGACAAGACGAGGAAGAATGTCGTAAAAAATAAACTTAAAAAACGGGTAAAATTGTAATAAAATAAGAGTATAGATAGGGTTATAAATTAATGACATTAAGTGTATTGAAATACCTCTTTGGTGTTCAACTCGCCCTCAATAATCTTTCCCAAAACCAAACGCTTTGACACCAAATTGATAAATAATAAAATCATACAACAATTCTTCAAATAATACATTACGACACGAGTATAAAATAAACAGACTTATCTAAATAATAACAATTAGTATTTATTTTCCCCACAAAGTTCACTAAATATTAATGTTATAATGATTAGAAATATTATTAGTAATTCAACAGAATATTATTCACAGACAATATTCTGTGTTATGATATTCTGACTGTATTATAATCTGACTCTTATAGCCGGGTAGTTATGGTGACCAGAATAATTTCTACGTAAATTCAAAACAAAATAAAAAAATCTTTATTTCAATTAGTTTTATATTGTTCTGTGCGACTATTTTTCATGTATTAATCTTTTACTTTATATAATATGTTTTAATGTTTATAATAACTATTTACTATATTTGTATTAATTGACTGTTTAAACAAGTTTTTACTATTAGAAACCATGGTATAACTTATGAAAACAACTGATGGATTAATCCACTGTATATTTATTGAAAGTGCAGTTAAATTCTTATAATTTAAACTATTTTTTTGTTGCTTCATGTAAATGTATTTTTATTTTAATTTATAATAAATTAAAATTTTCCATAAATAATTTAATGGTTTAGTTTAGTATATATCAGTTTGGTATAGTTTTGGTAATACATGTTATAACAGTTGTGTAAATATATATTTAATTTGCTCCGTATATTATATTCATGAAGTTTACGTCAAAGATTTTAAAATAATGTAATAATTTATAATATACTATAATTTATAAAATAAATAAATTATAATAAACTAAATGTAAAGCAAATTTTTTCGTTGTTCAGCCAAACACTGATAATTTAATATAATTAATAGTTTTTGACATTCATTTGCATGAATTAAAAACTAAAGTCAATAATAAAAATCTTTAAAATTTGCGTCATATTTCTATTAAAAAATTTATGACTCAATTATTATACATTTAAATGTAAGAATTTATTTGCTATTTCTTAGTACCGTAAGAAATTAACATTACTATTATAGTTACTTGATTTTGTATAATAAATAATTAAAAAATAATCATTATCATTTTGCTTATCAATTCACTACTGAATCAATAAATTCATTGAATTAGAGGTCATTTTGAAGTTCAAAAATATTTTTCTTATGATTAACAAATGTTAACAAATTGTGTAATAAACACATACATTCAACAAATAAATTGAATTTACAAACAATTTATTTATTTGTTTCCAATGAATGTTCTCGATTCATAAACCACACAATCATTTCGAGATTAGTGTTAGATTGCAATGAAATTATTTCTGGTTCATTGCGAGTACTTTAAAAACTAATTTATTAAATCAGTTGCACTTAAAGTAACGGCTCTTCATGTGATTTGCTTCCAACACTTCTACTCTTTGGGTTCAGAGTCTGTCTCATAAGATAATACGTGCCAACCCTTGTCTGGATCGGACAGTCATATCACACATACCAAGACAAAACTAGTGACATTAATTTTGTTGATCATATGAATTATGGCCATAATCTCCGGACTAAACCAGTCAAACAATTGCCCGAAAAAACGTCTAGACTTTTAATTTTCAAATAAAGTTTGCATAAATTTATATTTTATTTTTTGTTGTTTTAAAAGACAGTAATAAAAACTAATCGATACTCGCTAATCGCAAATACTTCTCACAGCGTATCTATCGATAAGAAATATAATTCTTGAAATACTGTGTGTATATAAAAATTGACAAAAACAGAGCCATATATGTGGAAAGAATTTGTCATTTTTGTGTTAATAGCGAGAAAAATAATGCAAAAATCGCACAAACATTGGTTACGAAAAAGTTGAGATAAAAACCCGAGTTG